ACCTTATTAGTACCCAGTTTCCTTACAAAGTGTAAGAGAACATGCCCATATATATATGTGTTATACGTACAGTACGCGTTGCAAAGTATACGTCTTGCAATTACAGCCACGATTGCAAAACTATAAATATGTNGAAGAATCCCGGTAAATCTCAGAATAGAGGCTAAGGGAATTAGGACCTAAATAGAGAGTAATTAGTTAGTTGTCAATCTATAAGTCAAGTTAAAGTTAGATTAGTAGAATCTACATAGTATATCAAGTGTTAGTAGTAAGAATTACCTAATTTAGACCCAGTTCCCTTACATGAAGTACTTTTTTTCATGACCAATAACTGTTCCATATCCACCACCATCTATTGCAACAATCATATAAGCCGATATAGCCCGTAATCATATACTTGAATACCGTACGCATCATAATCTTGAATATCCTACAATGACACAACAAAAGGCAATAGTGACTAACTAAAATTCAGCATTTCTAGCAAGAAAGACAGGTACAACCTATTCGTTGCTTATTCACTGTGCAGACCTCACTACTACTCGTATATTATCGGCTTTCTACGGGATGTCTTTGGAAACTTGTCGAGAATAAAGCCTTAGCTACAATTTACACTTACTGAATTTCTTTCCTATAATTATTGTATAACTCAGCATTAAGCGATATGCCTCCATACCGTAACTATATCCTATGTATATATTGGGTCTTTCTGTGTATAATTGCTGCTACACAACTACAGGGTGCAGAAACTATTCTCTATATAAAATTCTTCATCAACTCCATACTAAACTCCACAAATTCTTTCAAGATTCAAATTAGAAATATCTCTTACAACATAAGCTACATATCCGAGTTCATACCTGGCAATTTACTATAAATCGAATGATTTAGCAATCCGGTATTAGCCTACATCGTGTATATAGTAGGATGTTGATGATGAAAAAATGTTACACAAAACCTTTCCCCATACAATCCTTTCCGATCATGAAATAAAAAAGTTATCCTGTAATATATAGAGACAATTAATTAATCAAATTAAGCAGTTAGTTTGTATTTATAGATAATTCATCCTCAATAACATTAGAAACCACCTAAAGATATGTCATCCAGTAACAATTTGGGTGATGTTTTCACTGGTGGCGCTACCACTTCTCAGCACGTTGAAGCTGAAGATGATGATCATTTCGAAAATACCACATTTAAATTGAAAAGAACAAGATCGCTTGGGCTTTTGGATGAATTTATTCAACCATCAGATGCAGAAAAGGCTAAGTCCGGAGAGGTGGATTCCAAGGGAGAGTCGGAAATAAGTTCAGCAAACAATGCTTCACCCCTGGATGGTAATTCTGACAACAAGGGAGGATTGTATGGTGATGATGATGCTGTAATTGATGATGATGAAGACGATAGAGAAGGCCATAAGTTGCAAATACCGGTAGTTTTAAAGAGCCCGGAAATGTTACCGCATGATGATACAGATATTCAATACGAGCCATCGAGACATGTGGATTACCTTTCACACCAATGGGATGTTTCTGATATATCCAAGAGTTGGCGTTATGTTATTCAAAAGCGTAAAGATGTTGCCAATTCGGCGAGGCTTGAGAATGCGAGTTGGAGAACCTGGGCGCAACGTAGATCCAATTTGAAGACGATCAGCCCGGAAGTAGTGAATTGGTCTAAGGATAGCGATGTCACTTGGTTGTATGGTCCTATTATGAAGGACGAGGAACATGGAGAAGCAGATGAGGAAGATAATCATAAAAGAATCACTACTGCTACGAGTGCGGTCGCCGGGGACATTTCAATACCAAACAAGCCAAAGAAAGGACCTAAACCAATTTTGAAGCGTAGAACGGTTCAAGATATGATGATTAGTCATTCTAACTTATTGAAATTGCAACTTGCCACGAATAGAATGCACGATAAACAACGCCAACAACATGAATCGCAAGTTCGCAATGAAAATCAACTGCATAACGAGAATGAACCCCCTGAATTTGATGACTATGATGCAATTTCAGCTAAATTAAATTCTCAGTACAAAAATATAGATTCTCAGAATAATAGCATAGTTAACTTACAGAAGCTAAATGATGATAAAAAATCGGAATCAGCAAAATCAGACAGTCACCAAGCAGCGAATAATGAAACGTTGAATCAGTCAGACCAAATCTCATCGGACAATGCTACCAATATCCCACCTAATAATGCAGATGTATCTGTAGGAGCAAATTCCACCACTAATACTTCATCCCCTATTCCTAAGGAAGAACGTCGCATCCACTTTAATGACGAGGTGCAGCAATGCATTGCATTAGATGAATATTCAGACGACGAGGATGATGATTATTATGATGATGACGAGGATGACTATTATTATGATGATGATGAGGAAGATTATATGTACGAAACCCCCCATGAAGATCAAGATGACGAGAATGACGATGAAGACGATGACGATGATGAAGGAGGATTTTTCTTAAAAGTGAAATCACCGTCTTCTCCTAATGCGCCAGTACCAGGTTTATCTTTGTCAGCTAACAGGGAAAACAGTAAAAACAATAGTAATAATGATAATACTGAAGACACCGATTCAATCTCCACTACAAACAGTAAGGTTCATAGAAGTATTCATTTATTACCTTCTACGACGTTAAATTATGGCTCATCGGACGAAGAAAGTGATGATGATAATCCTTATACTTCAAGTTTATCCCATAACGCAAATAATAGAGGTTATGATTACTATTATGACTATAATACTGTTTATACTTGTGATCCTGGTCATTCAATTTATGGGTTGAATAATAAGAATGATAGTAAGGCCCCTGATGTTGTCGATGTACCAGAGAATATTACGTTAGGTTCTAATTTTGACTATGAAGATATTGAAAACGAAGATTTCAATAATGAAAAAATGCCAATAATTGATCCATCAATTATCAACAGTAATAACCTAAACTATCCAACGAGCCATAATGATGATAATTCTACCTTTAAACCAAATGATTCCGCTAGTAATATTAACGATAGTGGCGAAAAAACGAATGACAATAGTAAAAGGTTTGAGAAATCTAACAGTCCGGAACCTTCAAATAAAAAGACATCACCCTTTGACTTCAGTGGTTCAGATAGTGAAAACGACTCTGATGATTCAGAAGATGGGTTGTCGATCAGTACTAGAAATTCAAGTCAGTCATTGGCTCAGCTGGTATTCACGCACAACATGACTCGGTCTTCAAACAATGATGATGAACATCAATACCCAACTTACGAAAGTCAACCAGTCACAGCTCCAGTTTCCAGCATCAACCCACGTCATTCCTCAACTTCAATTTCCAAACAATCTACGTCTTCGAATTCTTTATCACAGCTGTTCTTTGGTGGAGGCCTTACAAAGCAAGATGAAAATGAAAGCAAGGATCTAGCTCTGGCATTTTTCGATACAAATGATGATGACCAAGATGAAGAACCTCAAGACCAAGGTGAAACTGTGTCATCACTGGATATGCCGCAATTACAGAAAACATTATCTAATACCCAACGCAAAGCATCCCCTCTACCACCACATACCACGTCTGCCAATGCATTTCTGGGAAATACAACGCCCCCATTAGAGAAACAACCGAAGAATACGTTTTCATTTGATTCTGAAAGTGATTCTGAAGAAGAATCCGGTGATGATATTACAATTCCCCATGTTGATAATACAACTCCAAGTTACGCATCTTTATCCCAGGTTGCTGATAAGAATGGTATAAGAAGCCCATCACCGGATGTCAACAGCATCAACAGCCCCCAATCAAATTCAAGTAACAGTAACTCTTCTACACTTGGAAACCAAAACAAGAACATAGTTGGCCAGGCAAAGGGCTTGGCAACTCATTTATTGGGCAATTGGAAAAATAACGAATGATGAACTATAGATATTGTTAATCATTGATCTGTTTACTGCAAAAATCTTTTCATATTTTGCTTATTAATTTAATTGTTTTCCTTCATTTCAATCATCTTTTTTTTGTACCCTATTCGTCGTTTAATGGACTTGTATTAAGCTAATTTATTTCATTTTCTGAAGGAACTAAGTATAAAAAAAGAACAATTTAACTACATATTTAGCAAACCTATTCTGATTTTATATCAATAATTTACTAGTTATAAATCTATATACTATAGTTTCGTTTCCAAATATGTATTTCATAATTGCAATAAAGTAGTGTAAGTAGCCCATAGAGTATATAATTTCAATTGAAGGGATACAACATAGCAAGCGATAACTTTCTTATCTTAAAGTATAGTTATATGAAATCAATACGAGCATTTTGCCAACAACATTCGTGGCGATATCTTTACGAACAACTGGCAATAGGCCAAAACACCCTGATGATGATGATGACGGCAAATGTGAACTAATAGGCACATTTTCACTTATAACACAAGCGTTTTTGGGGTACTATGTTTATCTTCGTTAATAGTTAAACGATTTTATGAGTATCCGTTAAGAAGAACGTGGCCAGTGTGGTTTTTTGATGTGACGAAGCAATTAATTGGTGCATTTGGGGTTCATGTATTCAATGTATTTCTGTCGATACCGAAATCCAAGAAAGATCCAAGCGTGAAATGTGCTAGAAATAAGGAAGAAATCGATACTGGTGATATTGATCCATGAGATTGGTATTTCTTGGTATGTTAAGGTGTGTATGGTCCAGTGATGATATTAATACTCCTCATAATGATAATACAACTCCAAGTTACGCTGCTTTATCCCAGATTGCTCATAAACTGGTATAAGAAGCCCATTGCCTGATTTCAACAGCATCAATCCCCCCACCCAAACAGATTCTAGCAACCCATTCAATATACTAAATAAATATTCTATAGTTTCATGCAATAGATCATAATGTTCACGAGAATTGGGGTATTTCGTTTGCCTTTATAACGTAATTGCGATTTCTGGCTTTTCAGCTTTTGTCAAAGCTTCAATGGCCCCATCAATATCATATCTCTTCATTTTCTGTTCGAATTTAAATTTGCATTCGATTCTAGTTATTTCAATTTCTTGACCAATAATGGCTTTTTGCAATAGTTCGTAATTTTGCGGGGCATTACTGACTTTCCATGGAACAGGTTTCTCAGTTTCTTGTTGAGCAGTAATACTATCAAGTTGCTATCTAACCCAATTTGAATCATCTATGACTCGCGGAACCCCATAATAATGAATACTAGCGAAATCCCAAATAGGAACCATCTTGTGAGTTTCATGCTAGGAGATTGAAATATATCCAAGACCTCTCCCCTTTCTTTAAATAATGGGACTTGATGATTAACCTTGGCCACATGGCCTTGTGAATATTTCTTGTTGGTGTCTTTGTCAACGCGTAAATAAAACGGTATATCATTGGCAATAATTCCGCTTTCTCCAGAACTAATAACTGTTCCTAATGGGTTGACTGTAATTAAACTTCCATGCGGATCTTCGTTTTCTTGAGCATAATACTTTGGAATACATATCTTTAGTTGATCTAGCTACTTGAATTACAAGGAATTGCTTGTAAAATATATACAGAGTAATAAATTGCAGCAAAATGTCTTTTTAAGACTATTTGGCCGCGCGCCTACGACCATATTAGGGACTCACTCACTCTCCGCGTAGTCTTTTCTTTGCTTGGTTCCTATTAGAATCAGCCTATTGATTAAGACTTTACGTCTAGATCTTCGATGCAAAAATCAAAGTATTACCAGGAAAATTGCAAGTTCCCTTTGATGGTGAAATAGTTAGAGGATGTCATAGCTGGAATGTATAGAATGCATATTCTTGAACCTTGTAAAAATATAAAAATAGTCGAGGTCCTCTTTAATCATTAGCGAAAATTGCAACTTTACAACTTTTGAAGCTTTCAATAATTTTTTACTTTCTGTATATGCATTTCTAGTTTGGGAACTCTATTAAGCAACTGATTTAAGCCCCTGGTCAATATCACCAATTAGATCATCAATGTTTTCCACACCCACACTAAGCCTCAATAAAGTCGGACTGACAGTCGAATCACTAAGAACTCTCCATTCTATTAAACTTTCTACTCCTCCTAGAGAAGTGGCGTGGTGAAAATAACGCAATTTAGAAGGAAATTGTTTTGCATCAGCCTCACTTTCAAGTTCAATGCAAAAAACTGGCGAGTATCCGTTCGAAAGTTGCTTTCTCACAAATGGCTCTGTTTGTAGGGAAGAATGATAAATTTTTTTCAACTTAGGATACTTCTCTCTGTTATCTACCAAGAACTTGATCAACTTCTCTGTGTTCTCCGCTTGCTTCAATATTCTGAGTTCGTAGGTTCTCAAACTTCTAATCAACAAAAAACTCTCTAAGTTAGATATATTACTTCCCAAATCAACACGATCGTTTACCAATTGATTTTTCACATTGATATCCTTTGTTGCCAACACGCCGGCTAACAAATCACTGTGCCCTCCAAAATATTTAGTCGCCGAGTGAAATACCATATCAGCCCCCCATTTGAATGGATCTTGCAACGGAGGAGGTGCGAATGTGGAATCAACTAATAAAAATGCACCTCTCTCGTGAGCCTTATCAGCATAGTACTGGATATCAAAAACGGTCCCGTCCGGGTTGACAGGAGTTTCCAAACAAATCAAATCTCCTGCATTCAATTGGTTCAAATCATCTTCTAAAGATATTTGCTTTAAACCTTTGAGACGAGAAAATATATTCAATATGCCATGACAACCATGGTAACCTTTACCAATACTCGCTACTTTAGGATTAAAGTACGTCAATGCAGCAAAAAAAGCAGCTAAACCAGAAGTGTATGCCACAGTATGCCCGCCTAAAATACTATCTAAAAGCTTTTCTACTCTTTCGGAATTTGGATTTGTTTCTCTTGAGTAGACAATATTTCCAATTATTGAATTATCAGGCAAATCTTCCTCTTTAATTAACTTTTCTGGATCGTCATCATACTTGTACGTAGTCGCAACATGAATTGGTGTCATTACATCAGACACCTTGTGCACTTCATCAGCCGCGTGAATACTATTAGTTGAAATTCCTGGCATATTAATTATTCTTGAGTCAGATATTGAGATTATGGGCCTAAAAGGGTGCTATTTATAAGAAAACCATTAACTCAGGCACGCAAACATTTAAGGTCGTATAAAAGTGTCTCTTTGCGAGCGCAAATTAAAGCGCAAAATACAAAAAAGCTGTGACGAAGTTCGCTTCAATATAATGTTGAAGCAAAATTGCAATATAAAACCCACTGCCCTAGACGGTAATATATTCAAATTCCGCATTATTTGCGCTCTAATGAAGACTTGAATTTTTGCATTCAGGACCTTATATGAGTTGAAGTTAGTATAAAAAGTTAGTATAAACGGATGGTATGGTCTTAGCTCTGATTACGGGTAGAAACCTATAATAGTATAGAATTTGGGTACATAAATATAGAAATAATTATTTTCGTAAAGTTGAGATTTGATCGAGTCTAATATTTTACTGGTGAACACGGATGACATAGTCAATCTTAGAGTGAGAATTTGGCGTGTAAAAGGATGATCAGCAACAGGTGGATCTAAAGGATATAGAAAGATTTTAGACGATGTGCCGTTTCAGTTGAACAGCGGTGAGTTGATGACTATAATGGGTGGTACAGGAAGTGGAAAACCCACTTTGTTGGATGTTCTTTCCAAGAGAACCAATATTAAGAATAAAGACCTATCTTTTTCTGGGTCAATTGATATATAGTTGGGGAAAAGAAGATTAATAAAAGGAAAATTCGGAATCCATATTTATTACAAAGTGACATTTTTTTTGCCAGGCTTGAGGGTATATGAGACTAATGTTCCAAGCAGACTTTTACCTCCTAGCGCTACTAAACAGGAAAAAATGAATTAGCTAACATGTTATTGACTACATTAGAATTGCAACCGACACGTGAAGAAACATTTCGTCTTTTTCAACTCATAGCACGAACTTATCTGGGGGATAACAATGAAGAGTCTCTTTGGAAATTTAGTTATTGAGTAGGTCACCAGCGTTGTTGTTGGATGAGCCTACAACAGGTTTAGACACAAGTGGTTCTTTAAAGCTTTTGCATGTCTTGAGAAACTTGCATCTTCAAAATTTGGGAGTGGTTCGAAGTGGCAGTTATTTTGCCACTATAGGAGATGAAAATGGCCAGTATTCTAAGAATATATCATCATATTTTATGTAGCATATTATGGACTTGTGTGTTAAAGATACTTCTTCTAAATGAAGGGAAGATTTAAGCTCGAGAAGAGTTGACAACTTCGTTGAAACTTGGAAAACATACTCTAAAAGCGAAGAGAATAGAATAATTATGTCCTCGAGCGAAGCGAAAGACCTTTTTGAGACAAACATTAATTTACTTTTTAGAGGCAAGGAGTAGAATTTCAATGTTACAAGGAAATTTGGCCTCTAACTAAAAGAGCCTTCATCTTAATGTAAAGGTATAAAGCGACTTTACTGTCCTTGGATCGCTTGTGGCTGGGTATTTTAAAAGCCTACAACTAAGTTGACAGACATTAGATCTATTACTTCGTGTCTATATGTTATGTTAGGGGTTATCGCTTTTGCATTTATGTTGGTTGAAATTGAAATGTTATGGGCAGTTGATGGATCATGTTTCTTTCGGGAATATAATGAGACTGATGATGATGATGACGGCAAATGTGAACTAATAGGAACATTAACGATAAAACATACATTATTTTCCAGTAAAAAATTCAGTAGAAGTGTAATCAATACATTAGGGTTGATTCAAGATATATTAAATTTTTACTTTGTGGGATTCTTTAATAATATTACTCTATATCCAATAGAGAAGTATTTTCTACCAAGAATATAAAGATGGCGTATATGCCCCATTAGATTTTAGCTTATCATAATTATTAAACGAATTACCAACTGAAATGGTTCCGTCGTTGTTCTTTGCTGTGATGATAGTACTTCGTGTTGGGTTACCAAGAACCCCTGAAATGTTTTTCATCGTGTTCCTTATAGGCGTTATATCGGTTAATTGTGGCGAATCTTTAGGAATAATAGTGACAAGCCTTTTCAAGTATTTGGGATTAGCTAAACATATTGTCGTTTGCTGTTATTCCCGGTGTATTTATGGGCGGCACTTTGTCTTTGCATATCCAATAGAAATATGCCGTGGGAATACGTGCCAAGTTAGATTCCGAGAATCAAATATTCGATTATACTTTGGACGGTTGTACCTTAGATTCGAGTGAGAATGATTTAAAGTATTATAACTTGGACTTTAGGTGGATTAGTTCCTTGCTTAATAATTTATAGATTGGTGGTAATTGGAGCTGCTTCCATTAGAGTTGAGTTTTACCTTTGCACTGTATTAGATTTGTAATCTTCAACTTCAATTCTCAAAAATGTAAGTAAACTTCTAGTCTACGTAAGGTTGTTAGCATATCTGCTGGACATTTTGCGGCATTTCAAAAGCGGAATTTTTAAAACTATTAAATCTCCGGGAAAATCTTATAAAGTTCTTAAACGCCTCGAGTATGTGTTGAGTTTTACTCTTTAATGGCATAAAATAGAACGAAATATAATAAAGTAGAGCAAAATTACAGACCAACTACGTATTTAACAGATCTATAGAATAGATAAAGCTAGTATCCGATAGCTTACATGGTCGCAAAAAAATATTCCAGCCTGTATATAAATCATTAACTGAGTAGAACAAGCATTGCTAGTGAAGATTATTAGGGTTGTTTGACAAATAAAGGTTATAAACATCAGTTGAAAAGATACAAAGTAGTAGGCGATAGTTTTCTTCAGCTAAACTAGAGAGATATGAAATCAATACTGAGTATTTTGCTAACAGCATTCGTGGCGATATCTTTACGAACAACTGGCAATAGGCCAAAACACCCTGATGATGATGATGACGGCAAATGTGAACTAATAGGCACATTTTCACTTATAACACAAGCGTTTTTGGGGGTACTTTGTTTATCTTCGTTAATAGTTAAACGATTTTATGAGTATCCGTTAAGAAGAACGTGGCCAGTGTGGTTTTTTGATGTGATGAAGCAACTAATTGGTGCATTTGGGGTTCATGTATTCAATGTGTTTTTGTCGATATTGAAATCCAAGAAAGAACCAAGCGTGAAGTGTGCTAGAAATAAGGATGAGGACGATACTGGTGATATTGATCCATGTGATTGGTATTTCTTAAATATAGTGTTCGATTGTACCATAGGTGTTTTGGTCTTATACTTTGTATTTAATGCTATTAACAGGTTTTGTCGAAATTGGCTTAAGCTTACGCAGATTGAATCAGGCCAATATGGACCAAATCCGGAGAAGCCATCGATTAGAGCATTTTTAAAGCAATTAGCTGTGTATTTTGGATCGCTTATGATCACCAAGATTTTTTTATACGGAATAGTCGAATGCTTTGAAACTGAATTATTATGGATAACTAGTCACATACTATTGGTCTGGTTAGATGAATATCCCGACGAATTTGAGATATTTGTCGTCATGTTCGTTGTACCGGTAGTGATGAATTGCCTACAATTAGTGTTGGTTGATAATATCATTCAAAACCAGATTATCGGGAAGGTGAATGGACGAATGCACCATGAATATGCGGGTCAATCAGAAGCAGACGAAGGTCATATCCGAGATGAAATCGAAGAGTTCACAAGACACGGCGACCCTGGACACAAGCGAAGCCGAAGGCACCATTCCCTTCCCAACGGCGAAGGAATTAAAACGTACGGTACATTTAATGACGTCTGATTATGTTACACTTACTGATACACATACTGGCATATATAATAATAGAATATTATAGCATATTTATAATCTAAATCTCTTTAAGTCTATGTAAGGTATTATGTACAAGTAAAACCACCTATATATAAGCATCGTTGTGTTTCTAACGGGATTAGAATCCATGGCTTCTCACACAAGCATCATTGTGTTTCTAACGGGTTTCAAATCCATAGCCCTTCATACAAGCCTTATACTTGGAAATCAATTCGTCACACTTGCCACTTTCTTGGCCATTGAATAAGAGACATTCATCTCTCTTCTTTTTCTCATCTAAACAGACACAACATGGCTTTGGCTTCACCTCTTCTTTTTTGTTATCACCTGCAGAAGACATCTTTATATTATAAGCTATAGAATAAGGATTAAATGTAGTTTCTTGAAAATTTATAGCATTACTAATTCCCTTATAAGATGTCGCAGTATTTTTTAAATGTCTCCCCAGAAAATCTGCGACATTTTGATATCAATAACACTTCTAGCGTCTGAATAAATAGTGTAGGACATTGACATTGAATAATAGCTAATAGGATAATTGAGGTAAACTGAAATGTCGGCAGAGTCATCTGGTTCTAATTCTGAACAGAAATTGTCCTCGCAAAGTCCTATCCGATTATCCACTGATGGGAGTGCTAATATGAATGATGACTTGGCAAATGGATCAGAATATTCATCTAGTTCATTTGTATCGTTACCAAACCACAATTTACATAGGAGATCAGGATCAGCTATATCGTTTAAAAATAGTATTGACGCGGATAGTAGTTTTCTGTCATCGGCATATTTTCAAATATTGAATAACCATAACAGTCAGGAAGATGGAAAGAGTAACGATATATTTTCTCCATTGGGACCTAATTCTATATACGAATTAACAATTGCATCAGATTCATCAAGAGCTAAACGGAATAGGGCACCCAAGAATACGGTGACTATAAATGGTGGGATGACGACGGTTAATAATCTACGGAATCCGACTCTCAAAGATATACCGCAGATTCAATTACTGAAATTAAAACTGAAAGTTGAAAATAAGGAACTAGAAGCATCGTTAATACATGGATCTGAAGAAGATTACAAAAATTTTGATCTGAGTTATAGATTATTAACTGAAGATACACTTCAGAAATTTATTGAACTGGATAATTCTAGACACGGAAATTTATCAGCATCATCTTCTCTTTCCAATTTTCCAACCAAAAATAATTATGTGCAATACAATGGTGATGATATATCATCTATTCCGAAAGTTTTTCTTGATCCTGATTTCAGGTTAGACGATCCTAGAATATTTAAACAAGTAATAGGTGATTGTAATTTATTCTCAGATAATGAAACGCCAGATAAAAGTGTCGAATCTACTTTGGCCAAGAATAATAATTTGCAAGAAGAGCTATCTCGCTACTTGGATATAGTGGAAGTGAATCTAATAAAGGAAATCTCAAAATCTTCGGATTCTTTTTTCAGTACAATTGGTGATATAAAAGAAATACAGTCACAGTCTGAAAACTGTGCAGTACAATTCCATGACATATTGGATAAGTTAAAATTGCTTGAAGAGAAGGAATGCCAAAGAGGTTTAGATATTTTAAATAAGGTGAACGAAAGAAAGAATGTTGAGCATTTAGAGTCTTCTTTGTTACAATTGAAATATCTAATTTCAATAATCGATTTGGCACGAAAATCGTATGAGAACGGCAATCACGCGAAGAGTTTGAACGAAATTGTAGTTGCAGAACACTTGATCAAAGGAATAGAATTGGAAGATCCCGACGAGGAAAAGCAAGCATTATATCCAGACTTACCATACCCTGCGTTAAATTTTTCTAGCGTACCAGCAATTTCAAACTTGAATACTGAAATTCAAGATTTAAAACAAGAATGTTCGAAAGGATATATTAGTGCATTTATAGATTTGCTTTTGGAAGATTTACGCCAACACTACAATAATGTATCTTACCAGGACACCTTGAACAGAATGTCAACTTCCATCAATAAATCCAAAAAGTACGACTCAAAGTCAGTGAACAATTCATACCAATCGATCTCAGAGGATAAAAAGGAAAAGTTGAAAGGATACATTAGGAACTTAGCGAAATCTGGTCATTTATCTCAATCGTATGCAAATTATCAGGACAGAATAATTACCGAAATTAAAGATATTATAAAGGTTAATTTGCCTAGCAGTAACAAGCTGGGTGTTTCCCTGGCTGATATGTCTAACGTACCTTCGAGGTCTTCTTCAGTTCCACCAGAATCAAATAGTAACTTATTACAGCCAGGAAGTGGAACTTCAGGCAACAGTTTATCTTCCAATATAAGATGTATGACACCAAAGGAATTCGAAAGCATGCTAACAAAAATATATACCTGTTTATCAGAATGTTTGCGGCGTCTTACTCTCCAACAAAAGATTCTACTTGATTTTGCGCTTACCGCGATTCCTCCTAATTCTGAAAGCAATTTGGATGTTATGTCGTTGGATGTAACGTTTGCTATTAATAAATCGATTGAATTGACCCAAATCAGGTTGACAAAAATTATTAATGTTCGGCTGGAACAGACTGCTGAAATATCGCTTGATCATTATTTGCGTTTATATGCTCTCTCATCTGCATATTTACAGGAATGTGAATTGATTAACCCAGGGTATGTAGCTAGCGGTGCTGGTAACTCTTTGAATGATTGGGTCAAGAATCATATTGGCTATTTTATTCATAAATCCCATCTGAATTCTTTAGCAATGTTAGCAAATAACTGCGATAAAGAAGTTTGGAGAGAGGTCACTCTGGATGATGCATTACAGGAACATCAAGTACTTATAGACGAAATTTGTGGATATGCTGAATATGTTGAGACTGATGGGAAGAGTGGATTTTCTGGTGACTCGTGGACGAAAGTACTTGATTTACATGAAACAACAAAAGAAGATAAGGAGGTAAGTTCAAAATCTAATAAGCAACTTAATGGTAGATTAATAATCCATGATGAATCATTCATGATCCCAAATTTGACTTTGAAATCGTTAGTAAGTGTTAGGGAATACCTTATTATCTCCAAAATATTCTCTAGTAAGAGTTCGATCGTCGAAAATAATTTATTGAATTACTTCAAATTGATGAATTCTAAAGCATCACAGGCAGTTTTAAATGCTGGAGCAACTCGAACTGCAGGACTCAAGCATATTACCACAAAACACATTGCGTTGTGTATCCAGCTAGTTGAATTTAATATTGCATTGTTATCTTCTTTACAGGGTATATCCAAACAATCAAGAAATGCTTCACCTCCACCTAATTCACATGAGGAGATCAATTTTGCCAGAATTTTAAGCAATTATAAGGATCACGAAAATGAACTTTTCTCTAAATTGGTATCTATCATGTACGATCGTACCGTAAATCATTGTGCAACAATCGTCACTATTAACTTGTCAGAGCCACTCAAGCACCCTCAACAATGTCACCTGTATATGGAAACTTTAGTCAAAGAAACAGCTACAGTTACTAAAGTGCTAACCAAATATTTACCTGAAATTAAGTGCTCGTTGATTCTTCTGCAAATATTTGACAACTATAAGAAACTTTTAGTTGACTGCTTTTGTACACAATTATCTCAATTTAAGGATTTCAATGAAAAACATTCATTGTTGAAAGACATTGATTATTTTAGGGTGAAATTATCTGAAATACCAGGATATGGTAACTCGGGTCAGGTAATATGGGAAAATGTGAATTCTTTGCCAACAATTGAAGATACAAAAATGGAACAAGTAATGAGAAACAATATTGAAGGAGAAAGACAGCAAAACACTGATAGTAGTCAAGCTTCTCAAAGAAACTCGTCAGAAGTTAATCATGAAGAGAGTACTGCTACTGACCAATAATACAAACAATAAAAAGAGGATGCTTAGGATACAGAAGATAGCAAATAAGCAATTATATATATTGAACACTTTATAGAATTTCTAGTAATGCTGCCTAATAATATAATCAATTTCTACACTTTCAAGTTAAAGTCACCTTCGCTATTTTTTACAAAAGCATCTGTATCTTCCGTGACAATGCAGTCGATTAGTTCGTGAGGCGTAACATCAAAAGCAGGATTCCATACGTCTATTCCGGGCGTTGCTATTCCAACCGTTTGCTTTTCACCAACTCCATTATTAGTGAGTATAGGTCCATTAAGTGTTGTTAATTCCTGTGAAGGTCTTTCCTCAATTATAATCCCATCGCCAGTTTTTGTCTTAAAATCAATTGTGGTCCTTGGAGCTGCGATAATAAACTTAATACTGCTTACTTCTTCTGCTCTTGAATTGAAATAATTTGCAATTGTTGATAATTGGAATGTACCGATTTTATTTGCTGTATCACCATTTTCCACAATTCTGTCGGCGCCGGCAATGATGAACTTTACCGGAGCAGTCAGACTTTTCACCTTTCTTTGTTTGCTTAAAGTAGAAATTAATGATGACGCCATACTATCACAAACAAGTGTCGAGGGTATTCCCTCGTAATTTAATTCGTAAGTAGTCAACCTAGCTCCTTGATTATATGGCCTAGTCTCACATGGATAAACATGCTCTAACCAAAACTTTTCACCAGCATCTTTTGATAACTTTTTGAAAACGGTTCTGATTATGCCTAGCGCAGTACCATGGCCTGATGTTGCTAATGAACCAGTATTACAGATAGTAATGATGGAGAACGGGCCAGTAAAAGACTGCGATTTCAATGTTTCGACAATGTAATTCAATCCATTATCACCAATCTTGAAGTTATTATTCAAGTCATCATCGTATAATACAACAGAATATTGATATATTATATCAAATGTGTGCTGGTTAACCAATTCTTCCTTTTTGAATTCCTTAAGGATAAGTCTTTCGATATCTAAACAGGCTTTGGAAAGATTGACAGCTGTTGGTCTTGCAGTAATTAAATAGTGAATTAACTCAACTAAGTCACCAATAGTTCTAGATTTCTCTTTGGTTTCTTTCAAATTATTGTATACGTCTACAACAATAGAAAATGCACCAACAATTGCAATAGCTGGCGCCCCTCTGACTTGCATCAACTTAATAGCTTGATATGCATCCTCAATGGATTTAATCGAAATATATTCAGTAGCATACGGAATAAGAAGCTGATCTAAAATATCCAACGTTTTATTAACTCTATCAAACTTGATAGCTTGAAGGGTTTTAGCTTCGCTTGACATTTAGGGTCCTGTTACGATTTTTACAAGTAGTATTCTACAGGATATAACTTTTTGGAAATCTATCAATATTTTATACGGCCACGTGAGATTGAGCACCTATGGCATATACATATATATTGTATTACTTAGAATATTAATCTACGTATACCTTCAATCTCCCATTCCTCTTTCAATCCATTCCATTTACATCCCAATAACTTCTTCCCAGTAATAGGACATCTTCCACCTTTGTTGACATCAATTGTTATCTTTTCTTCTTGTGTGGCATTTGCGTCGACCTTTTCGTCTTGATCTTCTTTTTCACTATCAGGTTCTTCATTATCACTGTCTATTTCTTCTCTCTTTAGCCTTGCTTTTTCTGAAATTATTTTATGTGATTGTGCAAGATAGTTATAGATGCATGAATAGCAGAAGACATAACCTGTTTCGATGATTGCAGGATTACTTATTTCGTCTTTGCATAATGGACAAGTCTTACCAGAGTTGTAAACTTTCTTTGGCTTATCGTCTAAACGACGCTTTCTAGATAACGAAGAAGGGGGTGGTAATAAGGAGTCGAGCATATTACCTTGGGTTTTAGCTATTTTCAGGGCAAAATTTGAATTATTGTACCATTCTAAGAACTTCAACGTGAAAATTGCTACTGGGAAGAATGTTCCCAAAATAAAGTTTATTAACCTCCATGACGGTTTTGTTATGTTCTTGTTCAAAATTCTAAATATCGATGCCGCGAGCGTTGGAGGAGCGATTTTATTGGGCATGTCCTTTTTAGAGGCAACCTTCGGTTCATGCTTTGAGTAGTCATATTGGTTAAGTCTTGAATAGTTAATTTTGAATAATATGGTCAATAGGGTAGGTGATTTGCTCAGTCCACTCAAGTACAATAGGGTAGTGATAAAGTTACCTGTTCGGAATATACTCTGCAATATAGGATATAGTTTAACAAATCGTCTTTTAAACTCTGTTTTGTAGACATCGGCTCTGTTTGAAGGGTCGTTTGGTACCAACTGATTTGTTACATACTTCGGGTACCAAATCTCATACCAATAATTGAACTTTTCACTCAAATATGATACACCTGTGATTTCAAAGATAGATGCAAACCTTTGTAACCCACTTAAACTCCTTCTATCTTCAATCATAGAAGGTACTAATTGCGTCAATTTGCTACTCTTGTATTTGGAGTCTGACAATGGTGTTTGACTTACTCTCTTTAATCCATAAAAATTCTCCGTGAATGACCCTTGCCAGTAGCTCATAAAGTACCACTCAATGAATGTCCGAAAGAATAAATTCAATTCCTCAAAGTTATTTGCAACCTTAAGCAATAAATATGGGTATTTACTAGCATAATGAACTAATATATATCTTAGTGATGGCGATAATAATGATTCCAACTGGCTCGCAGAAATTAATTCGAAAAGTGTTGGCACTTCTGAATCCAACTGGGAAGCATCCAACGATGAGTAGTATTCCATATTTGTAATAAACTATATGCCACTTGCTACAGCTTTTCTTTGTACTATACTATCAAGCTAATCGCCTGTAATAATGTCCCCACAATATACCGAGGATCAAAACAGTCGTGCCGCGACTAAACTACTTAATGTCAATTTTGCAACAATTTGTCATGATATAATATATGTATTCTTTCACCAGATAATACTTAAATGGAAGAGTTTGAAGGTATAGGTTCTATTGTGGAAGAATTTAACATAAAAGGGTCCACATTGAATTTATTCAATATTAAATGGAAGACGCCTAATAGCGATAAAGAGTTAAAAAGGTTTGTTCAGATTCCATACGCACCTCACAATAAGGCTTTTCCTAGTCTACCCTTAGTGGTTAATTCCAGCGGCAAGCTGTTGAGGTATATGGCTCAAGATGAAATGATGGATAAATCTATTTTAGAATACGACGAGTCTAAATTTGACTCAGACTTTGAACTCAATGAATCTAGCATAAGCACGAATCTCACCCAATTCATGAACGAATATAATATCAACGACGAACAGAGACAAAATGCGGGTTACCATGACTCACTGGTATTTTTAGCAGACAATCATAAAGAGCAGATCCTTTCTGATATTATATTAGAGTCGAATTGCGAAGATTTAGAATTGGTCGAAAAAAATTGCATTCTTTCGAGCGACTTCACACAATTATCCTCAAACAGATGGGACAAAGAGTCTTCAAAGAAAGCTAAATTATCGTCCGAAAAGGACGATTTGGTTAGCCTCAAATCGGAGCCTTTTGCTGATTTGGAATTAGACGATTTTTTCGGGCTACATAATTGAAATGGTACGCAATAAAATGTCGGTTTTTATTTAGAGAAAGTAATTAACTAATGGTTTTAAAATCAAGACAAAATAGATGTAGGATGGTTGGCAAGATCTGCACGAGTATCAATTTTCTAGAATAATGTTTTGGATGGTTCCAACTGGCATAGCTTGAGTTCAAGCCTATAACCATATTTAATATAGGTTTCCCACGTTATTAAATCGAAAACTTGATAGTCACCATGCTCGACATATTCGTTGGCATCTACCTGTGGAGTAGGCGAATTCCTCACGCATTTGAACCAGTAATAATAGTGTTTGGATTCAGATAACACTTTATCGAATGGGGAATTATCTTGAATGTGGTTTGCCGCTTGCAAATTATTTTGAATCTCGGACCTGGATCCATATGGTTTCCAGTTCAACTTGAAAAGACAGGATTCTGCTATCAAATTTTCTATTGGTGTAAATCCATAATAGTATCCATAAAACAAAACCATGGTTAATTCATTTATTACCGGTATGTTATCTGCGTTGTTTTGAGCCGATAGCAATTGAATTTCTTTAACAAATTGATCAAATTGATTCTCAGCTCTTATACGGTTCCAGTATGATTGGAACTTGAGCAAGTGCAATGGTGCCTTTATACGTTGCTCCTGTGTATTACTAGGCAAGTGATGGTTAAAGGTTGCCTGAATAGCCAGTGGAAGGAATGGCTTTTGAATTGGAGTAATGTAAGGATTATATGCATTGGTATTAATTAATATTTTAGAATCATTTGTTGAGACTTTCCTTGTGGCTGTGAAAGAAATGGCTAAGTCTTGAATACCCGGTGGTAGCCTTATGAGATTTAAATCACTGAATAATTCTAGTTCTGTATTTGACACCGACGAATTTTGTAAAACTTCGACAAACCTATAATTAGGATCATTGGACTTTTTCTCTACAGAAAACTGCGATTCCAACTGAAGTTCTGGGTAGCGTAATTCGGATGGAACTTGAGGTTGCAGTTGTGATTCAAATGGTGACTTATTTGAAGGTACTTTAGAATTTTGCGACTGAATAAATAATGGCTCTTCTTTTATAGGCTTAATATCCATATCCCCATTTTTGCCTATTCCGCTAGAAGTAGATGGCACACTTCCTGCTGCAGCTACTGCCCATTTCAAATTACCTACTGGTTTTGAAGGGGTGGTTGCCGGCTTTAAGCTTTTAATTATCGCTGGACTGGACAACTCAGGGGTCGAGGGTACGGGAAGAGGTGCTCTTTGAGGTGTCATTATTGTATCTGCATGAGCTTGTGATAAATTATCCGGCCTTGGATGTGATGAAAAGGTCGGAAATTGGTCCGAACTCTTTTTAATTGGAGTTGAAACGTTAACCTCATCCACGTCGTCTTTATTAGAAAAGCTATGATCCTGAAAAGATATATCGCCATTTTGGCTATTCTCATCATCGATATTATTATTGCTTGAAGCTTTCGATGCTTCTTTAGTTAATTCGTCATATAACGTATCATCATCAATAAAGTCGGGCTCTTGATTCGATTCCAAGTAAAAGGTAATATCTTCTTGAATTGCAAATACTGCATCAGGACTGATCTTATCTTTCTTCAAAAAATCTATAACCATCTCCATTTTTTCAATATGAAATTTATTTCTATTGCTAAAGCCTTCTAGTTCCTGTTTCCTTTCCTCTATCATAGTTAAATTATTCTTACGAATCTTTTTTTGAGAAATCTTTTCATATTCACCTTCCAATTTTTCACACTGATCTTCCAATTCTTCTATGCTTGCTTCAAGAAATTTTACTGCCTCTTCTGCTTCTGGTGATAAGTCGATGTCTTCCAGCTCTAAAGCTGCGAGCATTATGGACTGGTTCGAATATGATTTCATCTTCGAGCTCTTTTCTACATCTTTATAACACTCCATTGCCTCCTCCACCAATTTCCTGTGTTCTTGCAATTTACTCGGCGCTATCGCTGCCTCAATTGAATCGTTCAGTTGCCATGTTTTAATCTGATCTCGAAATTTTTGTAACTTTTTGATCTCTTTCTTTAAGTCCCCCTCTAACTTTTCTCGTTGAGAATCGCTGTTTGAACTTTGATGACGGCTATAATAATAATTGAATAAATCTATGCCTTCATTTATCTTCTTAAATACCGTATCAACTTCTCTAGTAAGTTGTTAGTATATGATGTTGAAAATGTATTTGTTCCAGGTTTAACCTTTTATATTTCAAGAACATGCATTCTAAATATAGATTAGTCTGGTAAAAGGAATATAAAACATACTTTTGTAGCTTTCTATGAGACATGGCTACTGATAGGTTTAACCGTACTTGAAATATTTAATAGTGAAGCTTGATTCTAGTAATGATCTCTTAATTATGGTGAAAAATTTTGAGATCTGAATAGATGGTAGTTGCACGTGAACATCTACGAACAAAGTAAGTGTCCATACTACTGATTGATAAAATAATCTGGTATAATTATTTTAATTACCTACCTATTTATAAATATACTTTAATATAAACCTAAGGAAAACGAATCTAATGTAGATGTCATGATTAGAAGATTACAATTCATCGTGGACAAATTCATCATCAGAATCATCGTCACCGAATTGAGCTTCATCAGCACCACCGGCACTACCTCCATATAATTTAGAAGTAATTGGGCTTGCAACATCGATTAATTTTTGCTTTTGTTCTTCAAATTCTTCGGAGGTGGCGGAGTCGTAATTATCTTCTATAAATTCTAAAGTTTCTTTTATGGCATCATCTAAGGTTTCTTTGTCATCGTCGTTTAACTTCGAGCCTAAACCGTTTTCAGATTCATCCTTAACTTGACCCTTTAACATGTGGGCGTAGTTTTCTAAAGAGTTACGCGATTCAATCTTGGCCTTTAATTCGGAATCTTGTTGGGCGTACTTTTCAGCTTCCTCAACCATTCTATCAATATCTTCCTTGGATAATCTACCCTTATCGTTAGTGATGGTGATAGATTCGGACTTGCCAGTACCCTTGTCCATGGCTTCGACCTTTAAGATACCATTGGCATCTAAGGAGAAGGTGACTTCAATTTGAGGAACACCTCTTGGAGCTGGTGGAATACTAGTCAATTCGAACTTACCTAACTTGTTGTTGTCCTTGGCCAACGCTCTTTCACCTTCAAAGACTTGAATCAAGACTGTTGGTTGGTTGTCAGCAGCGGTGGAGAAAATTTGTGACTTCTTGGTTGGAATAGCGGTGTTTCTGTTAATTAAAGTAGTCATAACACCACCAGTGGTTTCAATACCTAAGGTCAATGGGTTGACATCTAACAACACAATGTCGTTAACACCTTCTTCACCGGATAAGACACCAGCTTGAACAGCGGCACCATATGCAACAGCTTCATCTGGGTTAATACCCTTGGAGGCCTTCTTACCGTCGAAGAATTTTTCTAATAATTCTTGGACCTTTGGAATTCTGGTGGAACCACCAACGAGAACGATATCATCAACCTCGGACTTCTTGAAACCAGCATCCTTCAATACTTGTTCAACAGGCTTCAAGGTTTTCTTAAAGGAGTCGATGTTCAATTCTTCAAACTTCGCTCTAGAAAGAGTTTCGGAGAAGTCAATACCATCAACAAATGAGTCGATTTCAATTCTGGTGCTCATTTGCGAAGATAAGGTTCTCTTGGCCTTTTCGGTTTCTCTCTTCAACTTGGAAATTGCCTTCGAGTTACCGGAAATATCAATGTTGTGCTTCTTCTTGAAGACACTCGACAAGTATCTAACAACCTTGAAGTCGAAATCTTCACCACCCAAGTGAGTGTCACCTGCAGTGGCCAAGACTTCGAAAACACCTCCTTCAATCGACAATAACGAAACATCAAAGGTACCACCACCTAAATCGTACACAATGATTTGCTTTTCGCCTTCAGTCTTGTCCAATCCGTATGCAATGGCAGCGGCGGTTGGTTCGTTAACAATTCTCAACACGTTCAAACCTGCAATGGTACCTGCGTCCTTAGTGGCTTGTCTCTGAGCATCGTTGAAGTACGCTGGTACAGTGACAACCGCGTGGGTGATCTTCTTGCCCATGTATTCCTCCGCAATCGACTTCATCTTGGTCAAAATCATTCCCGAAATTTCTTCTGGCGAAAATGTCTTGGTCTCGTCGTTGAACTCAACCTTGACCACTGGCTTGCCGTCCTTCTTGTCAATCTTGTATGGTAAGTGCTTGATTTCCTTCTGCACCATCTTGTCATTGTATTTCAAACCAATTAATCTCTTGATGTCAAAAACTGTGTTTTCGACGTTCGAAGAAGCCTGGTTCTTAGCCGCGTCCCCGATCAATCTTTCTTCTGGTGTGAATGCAACGTATGATGGTGTAATTCTGTTACCTTGGTCATTGGCCAAAATTTCAACCTTCCCATTCTTCATAACACCTACACACGAATATGTAGTACCTAAATCGATCCCGATCACAGTACCATAGCTTTCGGTGTCATTGTCTGTTTCTCCCGCAGCGGCTAATGCTTGACCCTGATTTGGCGTCAATAATGGCAAAATAACCGCCAATAACACGTATGCTAACGTGAATCCCGATATCCAAAAACGACTATTAACTTTTAACATCCTTTAGCAGCTTTATTAACCAATATCTAAATTTTTGAAAAAAAAAAGAACCACGTCGAATATACAATATTATATAATGTTCGAGTGAGAATAATGATACGTAAACAGAACGGCTTTGTGTCACCAAATGTGAGCCTCAAATGGCTCTAAGAAATTCTATAGCTAAATGATGACGTGGCCAATATGAAGGGTTTGGATGTTGACGGTGTTTGGATTTCAAGAGCTACCGGCCCCGATTTGCTTTCGAGTATCTTGGTGTATAGATGTTGGTTTAAGGATTTTGATAGAGGTATGACGTCAGTGGGTTCAGCGTTATTATAAAGACTGATATAGACTTATAAGGCTTATATAGACTGATTTAGGTTTGCATAAATGATGTAGATTTATGTAGACCTATAATTACTTATATAATTATTGGTATAGACTCATAGGCTTACTCACACCGTGTTAATTTGAATGAGTTATCGCTCTCAGGTTATTCCGAGACATTTTCAATTGCCGCAAATTTGTGGTATATCTAAATTGTAATCTCGCATAGGCTGTTCGCTCCATCCACTAGTATTGGAGTTTGGTTGTATCACGAAGAAAATAGCTCGGATGAGAAGATAAGCACTCAGAAGTATGGCCATTAGCCTAAAGGCCAGCTACTACCAACCCCACACTCTGCAGCAGAATCGTAGAAAATATCTCGGGAAGGACGTAATCCAAAAATATAAATAGTAGGGATCTTCTACTGAAAGAAAGGTATAATTTATTTATCATTACAGTTGTATCTATTAGATTCTAATTAACATACAGAAATAAACAATCGAATTAAAAATGTCAAAGGGAAAGGTTTTACTCGTTCTTTACAAGGGAAACGAACATGCTCAACAAGAACAAAAATTGTTAGGATGTTTAGAAAATGAGTTGGGTATCCGTGAGTTCATTGAATCGCAGGGATACGAGCTTGTCTGCACTGACGACAAGGACCCAGAGCCTTCGTCCACCGTCGACAAGGAATTGCAGGATGCCGAAATTGTCATCACCACTCCATTCTTTCCTGCGTACATCACCAGGGAAAGAATCAATAAGGCTCCAAAGTTGAAAATGTGCATTACTGCTGGTGTTGGTTCCGACCACGTCGACTTGAATGCTGCCAACGAAAGAAAGATGGCAGTGACAGAAGTCACTGGGTCTAACGTGGTTTCAGTTGCGGAACATGTTCTTATGACTATGTTAGTTTTGGTTAGAAATTTTGTCCCTGCCCATGAACAAGTCATCAAAGGCGAATGGGACATTGCCGGTGCTGCAAAAGACGAATACGATTTAGAGGACAAGGTCATTGCCACTGTTGGTGCCGGTAGAATTGGATACAGAGTCTTGGAAAGATTAATTGCTTTCAACCCTAAAAAGTTGTTGTATTACGATTACCAAGACTTACCAAAGGAAGCAATTGACAAGTTAAACAAAGCCTCCAAATTGTTCAACGGTAAGGACAATATCGTTGAAAGAGTTGAAAGCTTGGAAGACATGGTCGGACAAGCAGACTTGGTCACTATCAACTGTCCATTACACGAAAAATCTAAAGGATTATTCAACAAGGATTTGATTTCGAAGATGAAAGACGGTGCTTGGTTAGTCAACACCGCCCGTGGTGCTATATGTGTTGCTGAAGATGTCGCTGCTGCAGTCAAGAGTGGAAAGTTGCGTGGTTATGGTGGTGATGTTTGGTACCCACAACCGGCACCGAAAGACCACCCTTGGAGACAAATGCAAAATAAGTATGGTGCTGGTAATGCAATGACTCCTCATGTCAGTGGTACTTCGTTAGATGCCCAAGCAAGATATGCTGACGGGGTTAAAAGTATTTTGAACAGCTATTTTTCTGGCAAACATGACTACTTGCCAAAGGATGTTATTGTGATCGATGGTGATTATGCAACCAAATCATATGGCCAAAGAAAGTAGATACTTTTATATCGATAAAATAACTTTTTTTATGTAAAGTTTCAAGTTATTGATTGAATTTTAATATAAATGTAGCATTCTCTGAATCATCGCTTCTAGCTTGTTACATATTCTAGGAATTGTCAAACTATTGACTACCTTATCGGATTGTGCACATTTATTTTACGCTACACCTTAAAATATATCGTACAGTATTAATTGTAGTCTCATTGAACTATATAATATTATACTCTGTATATCTAGTTCTGTTCAATCTTTCGAAATCTCGGGATGGTCTTTCAAACAACGTCTCAATGCATCAAGCTTTTCGATGACATCTGAGCTCTTTAAGTCTGAACTTGAGAAAAGTACCGAAAATGCATCCTTGAATTCTCCGCCACATACTCCACTAGATATTGGCTTCAAAAACTTGTTGTCCCATTTGATTCCGGATTCAGAGCTCGTTTGCAGCTTTTCATTCTTACTTCCTGCCAAGCTCTTCTTCGTCTGTTCTGCTTCTTCGTTGGCCGTAGCCTCGGACTGTGTAGTTGGCGAGCCCTCTTCTGCCGGAACTTTAGTTTTGACGTTTCCTCTCCCCACCGCTTCCTTCTTCGCCTCCGCTTCTTTTTGGCCGCTTCCAGTATGTTCAGCTATACTCTTACCCTCCTCAATCTTTTTTTTATCGACCTCATTTTCAATCGTATCTATAGATGTCCAGGCAATTGCTGAAACCAATGCAGCAGCACTACCTAAGTAAATGCCGGTTCCGGGTTTTAAGCTAGCGGAACGCAGCGTAGAGTATGCTCTCTTCGATAAACCCTGGGAAAATTGATGTACAACCTTATTGTTAAAAAATCTATTCATTTTGATATAGTCTATTCTTAGTCTAAGAATTCCAACCAATACGGATTTCCTATTTATAATATAGATTTTTTGCAATATTGCTATTTATATGCACTCGGGGATGAAATTGCTATCACATCTCGGTTAAAGCAATTACCAATAATCATCAGACATCATCAAAGTCGTGTCAAACGATCGTTTCTAATTCAATTTTTGGTGTTAGATTACCTTCTACCATGTACTTACAAAATATTGAATTTGGTCATAATGCCCTAGCCTTCATAATTGCTCTCGATAAGCAAATAGAATCTTCAATTCTAAGGTGTACGAGGTTGTAGGTGATTGATCTCGTCTCCTTGTACTTGCGCGTGCTGTTTGCTAATGACATCACTCTAAGAAAAAAGGATTACGAAAATGGAGTAGCAATTTTGATATCCGTGATAAATCAATATTCAGCTCAGTCCGGGGTCGAACACTCGCTGTTAGACGTCAGCGTCAAAATTTTATCAATTACTCCCGAAGTAACTCTTTAACAATATAAACACGTATAATCACGTAATCTATTTAATGATTTTGGGTTGCAATTATCGATCGTATAGGTACATGGCCGGGGATTGAGTTGATTGTCGGATCTTTGAAAGTTTGAAAATTTTCGAATGTAATCACAGCAAGATATTATAGATTAATATGGATGTATAGGTTACAGGGTCCCAGATAACATACTAAATATTACTACAGAGAAATTAACTAATATGGAAATTTGTATTTGAAATCAATAAGGGGTTCGAAAAACAATTGCCAACTCACTATCATGTGCGCGATTCTTCGAATAAACCCTAGCTATGCTGCTTTGTGAAAACTATACAGTTAGGTAAATCAACATAGAAAGAATTCTGTTCTAGGTATCAATAAATTGATCATTTAATTTTCGATATATATTCATGATATTGAGTACATAAGTCATGAGAATGGAAAAGGAACTATACATTTAAAGGCATAATTGTGAAATATAGGAATATCGAGTATGAGTTATAAGCTTCAAGAAATTGGTTAAGGAAAACAAACCAGATGGTAACGAAATGTTCCAAGGATAATGAGGGTATTGCTAAATTGCTAATAATTATTCCCGAAATAGGATTTTGAAACCCAGCTTATTCTGCTCTGATAGATTAAAAGCCAAATAATGCTCTTTTCATAGCAAGTGGAGGGATATAGGATGCTATTAAAGTATCAGATTCTGTTGGGTCTGCGCTGCTAGTCGCATCGTCTGTAGGTGTAGGGATAGGAGTGGGCATAGGAGTGGGCATAGGAGTAGGGATGACAGTTGGCATATTGTCATATCCAATTGCGGTTATAGTCGTTGTTTTTGTTATTGTTTTTGGACCCTGCTTAATATATTTGGTATCATATTCGGTTACAGTGACAGGATTGCAATATCCCCAGTATCCCCAGTTATTACCGTTCCAGTTATTACTATCACCTGTCTCAGTTGGAACTGGAACTGGAATTACACATTCGCCCGTGATGGTTAATGTTGTTGGTTCGGTTATGGTGACCGTCTTTGGCTCACATTTTTTATCCTTGCAAGTAGTCAAAGTGATTGTGGTTGGTTCTGGACAATACGTGATATAATCAGTAAGAGTTGTATATTGAGTGACGGTTGTTGATGGAGGGCGAGGATGCTTATCTTTTCCTTGGTAGTCACACTTGTCACCATGACGGTTCTTACCATGACG